TGTGAAAAGAACGCTGTGTTGTGTGATTTTACTGCGAGACCCTCTGGTCAAAGCCACAGACTCATTTTGTGTCAGCTCTCCATTAAAGCAGAAGGAGGCGCCCACTAGAGGGTTGGAGGTTAAGTGGCTTCAGTTGCTGCTCTGTTGCTGTTCGTTTCTGTAAGAATATTGGAAACTGTTAAGAGTTAACAACATATTTTTTTTGTTTAAAACACATGGCTAAAACTACATTTGATATATTTTGCACTGTTTTGCACTACAAGAAAAAAGTCTAATAATTGATTTGTTTATTATTTTAAAACTCTCTGGACTGAAGGATTTGTGGTGTTCAAAATGACCCGAGCACAGAATTTCAAGAGCACTTCACCTTAGTATAAAAGATTTAATTGAGACAAAGTTAAAGTATGCAGATATTACATATAATCAGAGTGCAGTCTGAGGAACAAAATCAGAGTGAACCTTGCCTGGTCAATCAGCCGATGTTTGTTCAACCAAACTTTGTGTCTGAGCGAGTCTTATAGGTTTGTCATGCCCCTCCCTTTCGGATTCAGACAGACTTGTGATTGGATGTCCAAATCTCTTGATAGTCCGAGTGACACCATGTTCAGCCAGTCAGGAGCAGATCTTATCTCCAGGGTTACACCGAAAGCCCCAGATGGCCTCGCTCATTCTTCTACTGATAAGGGTTGTTTTACGAGCTCTGTTTTGGAACACAGGACATTTACTCTGGCTCTCGTCTGTGTAAAGCTTTAAAACACGTTTTCTGTGTGTCTGAACTATTATTAATGTGAAAGCATATATACTCAACCTGTGTTAAGTATAAAGTATATGAATGTTGTGATTTAGCGTTATTTATGTTTAATCAACGTGTGAGCAGTGTGTCACATTGGTGGGCCCTCACTCTCAGCTGCTTTACTCAGAGGACAAAGAAGGATCGTTTCCTGCTGCACGAATAAGTGTCTTACCTGTCTCTGTTTCCCTCAGAATTATATCAAATGTGAACTTGTATGATTATCCTTAGCACTTGTGAGATTATATATAACATGAAGTAATTCGTATATGATTATACACGCACACACCTTGTAGAAAATGCATAATTTCACCTCATCACAGAAATGTCCAGGCTTGTCAAAAGATATAAAAAGATATAAAAGATATCAAATCCAACAGGACCTAGTAGTGGAATTTTCTTAATTCAAAATATATGATGGCAAAAGGACACCCTATGCTTTTTTTAGCAAGTTTTATACCAAAAACATATTGCGATATATATTGTTATCGCCACCCTTCACAATACATATCGTGATATGAATTTTATGCCATATCGCACATTCCTACTGGACACACTATCGTGTTGATTAGATCACAGGTGTCAGATAGCGACAGTTCAGCATAAAACTTTACACTTCCTGTGTTCAGGGGGCCTGGCTTAAGCGATGTCATGATTTGACATTCAGTCTAGCAGGGGACTGGATGTGGATCAGTCACTGACGGTTTGATGTCTCAGACAGTTTTCCTGTATGAGCTATTAGCGTTTCGTTTTTCATGGTGAGATGTCAAACTTTGAGTTCTGGCCCCGCCCCTTCAGCATGCTCCGAAACGAACCGTTTAGATCACTTTTTGTCCCCCATGCCTTTTGACCAAAATGGCCAAGTTTGAAACCAATTGACCGAAATCCCTAGGAGGAGTTCGTTCAAATGTGGAGGCTGAAAACCGCCAGAAAGGTGTGAAAATTGGGACGGCATTCAAAAATGGCCACCTTCCTGTTTATCATACAACGTTGGTGCCAGAGGGTTTTCTGTGCATCTTGGGGAGTTGAACAAGTGTACCCAATTTGATGTTTCTACGACAAACAAAGGTTAATGTGGAGGGTATTTTGAAAATTTTCAGGTGGCGCTCTTGATCCGTTTCTGTTGCGATTTTTGCCACGCCCTTAAAATACATAATTTTTCACCAGTTCTGATGCGTCCGCCAAATTTGGTGAGTTTTGGGATATGCTAAGTCAGAGTCAGAGTCAGAGTTTCTTTATTGTCATTCGCACCTCATGTACATGTGGTGGAGCGAAATTATGTACACAGGGTCCCAGTTACATCCAACAATAAAATGTCTAAGAAAAACAGTAATAACATCTAAGATATGCACTAAGAAAAACATCAACTAAATATACACTAAACACTCATAACATAAAACATTGAACATCAGCACAAACATGAACATGAGTCTGTGAGCAGATGTGCACGCATGAACAC